AATGTTATTGGTAAGTCAGTATTGCGGTAGTTGCACTGCTACCTTACAGCAAAAACATTTTTTGTTGGTAATTTTCAATTACAGCACTTTGTGTGTGGCGTTTGAAAGTTCCACTCCTGTATATGAGTTTTCTTCAGGGTCTCTTGTTTCCTCCCACAGTCCAACAACGTGCATGTTAGGTTAATTAGCAATCCTAAATTGGCCCTAGTGAGAAAATATGTGACCCTGTAATGGACTGGCAAACTGTCCAGGGTTTACCCTCAGACATTGTATATTTAGAGACCAAGTGTGCCAGCCTTCTTTCATGTTGGGAATGGATACCACAAAATCCCAGTTTACAGAAGCTTTTTGAAACCAGGGCCTGCGCACAAAAGAAAATCCCATCTGCAGCCCCTCACACAATCAAAGTGCTGCATGATCTTTCTTTAAGCATGAAATAGCAAACCATAGCTAAAACATATAAAAGAAAATATTTAAACGTACAGTAGCAAGATGAGTGCATGATTCAACAAGTGTTGATCCTCTAACATTGTCTGACATGTATATATACCGTGTTTACATGGACAGGGCAGAACTTAGGCCTTTTACTGGAACCAGCCAACAAGAAAGGTTGGTCCCATTCCAGCTTCGACTTCTGGGTTCATTTCAAATGGTAAATGGCTTAAATTTATATAGTGCTTTATCAAGTCACATCAGACTTCAAAGCATCCTACACTTCTTCAGTCATCCGTCCATTCACACACAAACATTCACACAGTTCAGCAGACTTACACAGTGTACCCTGTGACAACTAGAGTCTGTGACCCTGCACAGGATCAAGCGTGTTTAGAAAATGGATGGGTGAAAGTTCCACCTGTGCTTGTATGGATTTTCTTTGTGGTCCAACTTCTCTCCACACATGAATGAATGGACAATATAATTGAATATTAACTATGCATTTAGAAAATTTATATATTTAGTTTTTATTGTAAATGTGAGCACAGTGTTCCTTTTATTACCGTATTTATTCAGGTATAATACGTAAAATTTAATCCATTAAATCATCCATAAAGTTGGGAGGTAGTACTATACTCGGATAAATATTTTTACTTATGTATTTTAACCGAAATATCGGCTTCATTCACAAAATGCCTGAGTCCGGAAATGCGACCACGTCATAAAAAGCAGCTGAAGCGAGCTRACCTRTGACACTCKMRCGTGATTCAGAGCGAGATAYTAACAGATCCAGGCAGATGACATGATGTGAAAAAAAGGMYGGGGGGGGGGGGGGGGCAGTGCTGCAGCTTAGAATGATAACGAACTAAAGACATTAGCGTGTGACCGAGCCGCTGCTGGAACAACAAACACATGTCCATCTGTAATGGCTGCCATCTGCCGATGTTTTGAAAAAGTTTGTATCCCTGAAAAAAGTTTCCCCACCAGAGGGGGTGCTTGTGAGTAGGAAGTAATCTGCTTTTCCCCTTGAAGATGGCCCAAATCTCATGTGAAGTCTCTGACTTTTGTGTTGGCGCATCCTGGTGGACTATGTGTAAAATTCCAGCATTCATGTGATGCTGCTACAGCTGATAAATTTGTTGTCAAAATACCTTTTAGTACATATGTAGTTAAAATAAAATGAACAGTCCAATGATCATTTTACTGATATGTATAAAGACTGCAAAGGCTGAAAAATCTTGGTCTGTATAAAATTGGAGGTAGTTTGAGGATCAAATTTTTTACGCTTTTTAAGCTCAAAAAGGGGGGGGCGGTCGTATTATACATGAGATCGTATTATACATGAATAAATACGGTAAATACGGCTTATACACAGGGATAAGTGAACACTGCATACATTCAGTCCATGCTTATGAATTCACTGGACACTAAAACTACTGTCATTAACTAAATGTGTGGTTATCAGTGGGATCTTTGCAACTTACTACACTTCTTTTAGTAATGCATTTCTGCAGTGCCTTCATCATTAAAGAAAGCAAAATCACCCCAAGTACACAATACACATTCTTCTTCTAGCCTGTCATGCTTTATTACTAAACTTGTTTGATTTGCTAAGTTTGTAAGATATCACCCACAGAGATGTGTGCCATCTTTGGGGTGTTTTTAATCTAGATTACGCTGTCCACAAACATGACATAAGTTCCATTCTTGTCTTTCTTCACAGGTAGATGGTTTCAGATTGCAATAAGACAGTAAATAAATTTATTTATTTACGGTTATTTAACCAGGCTAATCCCACTGATTAATGGAGGCCTGAGCCATATAAAAGTGGTCACAGCAGATTGTGGACATTCTTGTGCTGCTGGGCATTGATGTCAGGTTTGGGACACTGCTGTTGTCTTATTACTAAATGTTTTAATAGTACTGATACTAATAGTCAGATTTTTTACTTTGAAAGTGAGGTAGATGACATTTGCACACAGTATGTTTAACACTAGTTGTAGAAATCTGGACATATTTTATTTATAATGTACATAAATACAGTTAAACAATTCTCTGCTCATAAGATTTTGTCTACTGTTGGAAGAAAATATGTTTTCCTCTTTCATACAGTGTTTTTGTCTGCTGTTTGTACTTAGTAGTCTATCACTTAAAAGCTGATATTAAAAAACAAGAGTCGCCATTGTTGTTAGCCTATAATTTTAATATACAAATCCTCTAAAGTTTAGACAGTGTTATACAGGTTTGTATTGGTTCTATAAAGAAGTTGAAAAATTAACAGAAAATCTGTCACTTTATAACTGAGCTGCACATAAAGTATCTCAGTAATATCAGCAAATTTCAGTCCAGTGGAATAAATGAAGACATGATTTGTAGTATAGCAGCACACAAATGAGCTTGTGTGGGTTTTGTTGATCTTGTTGATCAAAAATAAGTTGCTTTATTGCAGAAGTATTTGCCTCAGAAGTGCTTATCCTCCCAGACATTATGTAAACACTGTGTCTCTGTATGTGACGTGTTACTTGTACAACTGACTGACAGCTGCTGTTTAAGTCATTTGAAAGCACACAAACTGTTCTTACAAATAAATTCACTTAAGTGGAAATGAATATTGAGATTATTGCAAGTCACATGATCGAAACAAAACATAATGACCATACTTCAGTTCTCACACAGTAACAACGTGTAAATTACATAAATGTTTTAAAAAGAAATTAAAATATTTCAAAATTGTGTGCTTTCTAAGAAGTCCTTTATGAATCTAAATAGTATATTTATTGTCTAACAGGTTATAGTTAAAAGACTGACAGTTCTGTAAACAATTATAAAATAAAATAAAAAAGTGCAAGAAGTCAAAAACAAGAACTGGAGATTCTTGAAACTCTTTTCTGCCATTATTACAAATGTCAGTTTTCAGCATCTATATTGACACCATACTTTACTAGCTTTAGTAAAAATATTTGTCTTTCAACGATGAGATAATCTAGAAAATTTCTCTCCAAAAAAATTGTTTTGGAGATATTTTAAATGAGAAGTTTTTCTTATTATAAAATTTAAAAGGGGAAAAAAAATCTACTATATTTAAAATTTTATACATAGCTTTGAGAAAAATTTAAAGAAAAAAAGAGCTGATTTAAAAGCGGATTTATTTAAATACCCAGCTGATTTCTTCAAAATTTAACATGGACAGTTATTAAGTGTATAAAAGTGTATAATTGGGTATCTAGTTGAATAGATAAGTTTATAATACAGCTCCAAATGTTCCTGCCTTTTCTTGTTGGAAACTGAAGTCAACAAGACCTGGTTTACAGAAGCTGCCATGTTGTGTTTTTGGAACCAGGGTTTGTACACTAGGGATATGGAGCTTGAAGTCCGCACAGATTCATGGTGTTACATAAGATTCGAAGCATGAAATGACTAATTACTGCTAAACAAATTCCAAAAATATTCAAACATATTTCAAAAGAATAAGAACTACAATAAATAATAGGAGAAAACATCTTTAAAAAGTTGCTTTATTTTATTTATTTTATTTTACTAGGGATAATATTCCATTTGTTTACATGGACCTAAAACTAGTGCTGGAGCAAACCTGCAGAAAAGTTGGTCCTGTACCTATTTCAACTTCCAGGTTCCAGTTTATGTACAGTATGTTTGCGTCATTGTGTTTTAGAAATTATTTGTAAATGCACATACAAATCACATAGAAAATCTCTGCTTATACATGTTTGTACCATGTAAGGACATATTTGGTTTTCTTGCTACTTCTGCTACTTCATTTATTTAAACTTTCTGCCAACTAACAGAAAATCCAATAATGTCAGGTGTTTGCAGGCCACTAGCAAAAGTAAAATGATTAAGTATATAAAGTATATCCCAGGGACTACAAATAGGAAACATGGATTTCAGCACTGTCAAAAAAATACAGAAATCATCAGAACACTCTTATAGGATGGGATTTAAATTTTAAGAAACAAAAGCCTTATGCTATAGCATTGGATTATATATATANCTGATTGGCCCAGGTAAAATAAACTACAAGCAGACACTGCGCAGAAAATTGACGTTCTGTTTTCTGATTGGCCCGGCTAAAAATCTGCCAGCGAAATCCATCTCAATGGGAGAAGTCCCAGACGGAGCAGTGAAGGGAAACTAGAATTGAGCAGAGCTGCGTAGGAAGGCAAGGGCCAGGCTAGAATTTGACTAAACGTTTTTCTTTCCACAGTAAAAATGCAGCAGCAATGCATACTGAAATTTCCCTGCCTGTCTGTGTTGTGATACCAGGCATAGTGGGCAGTAGTCCACCAATGTTTGTATTTAAACACAGAATAGAAAGCTAAGTGCCAGGATAATATATATATATATATATATTTTTTTATATTTTTGTTTTTATTTATATATATATATATACTGTATATGTATACTGTATATACATACAGTATATGTGTGTGTGCATATATATATATATATATATATATATACATATATATATATACATACAGTATATGTGTGTGTGTGTGTGTGTTTTGTAATGTTCTGTTTTTTTCTTCTTTTTTCTCCAACAGCTGATGAAGTCAGTCAAAACCTAGAGACTAAAAATGAGGTCTCACCTCCTGAGAAACAGGGTCTAGAGGACACCTCAACAGACGGTTCTCTCCCTCCCCAGCCTGTACTTGAGGAAGCTCCATTACCGAGCCTCGCTGAAGAAGAAGAACCTGAAAGCAGTGTTATGCCACAGAAACAGTGTGTGGAGGAAAAAACTGCAACACCACCTGCACCTGAACAACCTACTCAGCCTCCAGCTGCACAGTCGTCAGCCACATCAGCTGCCAGACTTCATGAGACCGGTGCTCTAATGGTTACAAAGACCTCGTATGTTATCCCAAAAAAACAGTCTGTATCTCAGCTTCCATCCAGCAAACCAGCCTCAACATCTGGCCAGAAGCTCTCTTCAGCCCCAGCACTGCTGAACGAAACCCGGAATCTGCTTGTACCACCAGCACCCAGTGCCCCTTCGTCCAGACCCTCTCAGCCCAACAACCAGATCAGACAGAGCATCCAGCGCTCCCTCACAAGCATCCTGTTCAAGAGGTGAGAACTGTTCTACAGATGTTTACGAGAACTCTTATTTCTTGTTTGTTTGGTTTGCTTTTATTTAGTTATTTGCAAATATTTTGTCATGGTAAAAAAGTAGGTATTTTCACTTTAGGTTCTAAGAATAAACAAAATATAACACACACACACGTTTGTTTCTTGACCCCGTGGGGACCTTCCATTGACTTCCATTCATGTTTTTTAGACTTTATATCCTAACCCTGACCATATACTCTAAAATTAACCTCACAGAAACTTACCTGACCCTAAAACTAACCTAAACCTTGGTCCTAAACCTAACCCCACACCTGTAACATGCATTTGGACCCGTACGATTCACTTTGGTCCCCACCTGGCTGCTTTTTTTTTGTAAAAAATACCCCATGTTGTAGGAAAAAAACGTCCACACACACACACACACATACACACATTTAAACCAGTTCTTAAAATTGGTTTAAAATGTCATTTAAAAACAGCAACTACCCAGATATTTGGCGCCTCCTGGTTAGAGTGAATTTGAATATGGTGGGATAAGAAGTATGAATATACCATTCTGTAAAATAGAATGTAAATGTTTTACTATAACATTAGATTGCCTTTTTTTTACTAGAATTTTCCATCTTGTGTTGAAAATATTTAAGCAAGTACACTTTATCACTTAAATGTTTATGTAAATGTTAATGAATTTTCAAGAATCAAAGGTTAAAAAATAACCCATGTCTGACTGTACTCTAATGATTATTGTCTGCTTTATTTCTAAGGATCTCTGATTGTGAAGATCTGGAAATGCCTGAGAGTGAAGTTACAAAGCTTGTAGCTAGTATCGAGAAGGAAATGTTCGACATCTTTCGTAACACAGACAGCAAATATATGAACAAGTACAGAACAATTATGTTTAACCTGAAAGATCCAAGAAATAAGGTTTGTTCAAAATTTGAAGGTTGCTTTTTTAATTGAACTTTTCTTTAGGGTTTCTGGTTTTGATTGAGTGTTTATGTTTTAATTGTATATTTGAATGTGACTGAATAGTGTTAAATCGTGTAGAAATAACTCATACTAACAGTTCTTTTTATTTTTTATTCAAATTAATGTTCCACTTCCTAATTTTCTTCAGGGTTTGTTGTATCGTGTCATACATGGAGAAATTGGTCCCTTCAGACTTGTCAGAATGAGTCAAAAAGACATGCAGGCTACGAAGGCACCTGAAATTATGGCTAAAGAAACAACACAGGTAAAGAAAACAGGCACCAAAAACAATAATGTGATTTAGTCAAACTTCTTTAGATATTTTAGTATTTGTAACAAAAGAATTATGTTTTGTGATTGCTTCTGATTATGAAGGTTAAAGATGAAGATGTTAAAGTGATACATTTGAAGAAGCCTGAAGCAGTGAAAGTTGATTTGTCAAGCTTGAAACCAGTTCGACCAGACAGAAAACCAGAGAAAATGGTTTGTACTTATGATATTAGTATTAAGCGTAATTGTTCACTGTATGCCTTTGTATACAAATGATTGCTAGATGCTGGGTTATTAATGAAAGTTGGGTCTTAAAGTTTGTGCTTTGTATTGATGTATTTTATGTCCAGGAACAGAAAAGGGTTCTCCCTGCTCCACCGTCAAAGCTCAGACCTAACCAATCAAGCCAGGGCAACACGGGACCAGATATTCTTTCTTGCATGCTAAAGGACACTACATCGGAACACAAAGCTCACCTTTTTGACCTGAAATGCAAGATATGCACAGGTGAATGTTTGGCAAAGCAGTACTGGCCCTTTAATTTAATTTGATCCACAGTTTGTTAGTGTAATCTGTTTTGACCTGGTCAGAGGTTCAGCAGGCAAGACACTAAATCACAGGACTGAAGAAATTTGGTGTGTATAAGTAAAAGAAAATCACAAACTGAATTATGTTGATAAAAATATCTACATAGATATAGAGACGACAGTATTGAGAATAACCCTTAGTGATAGTTAAAGTGCCTGAGACATGCATATCCTTCAAACACAAAAGTCAAAGAAGATACCTTTATATTTAAGAAACATGATTTCACACGTTTTGTCACATAACATCGCATATTTTTCTACCTGGCTCAGCCAAAGTAAAACAGGAAGTGACATCAAAGGGGAACTCTTTCAGAAAATAAATTCTCTAGTCTTTGTTTATTGAAACAATATTTGAACTCTGACTCTGTTAGTGACTCAAAACATCTAAAAGAAATGTCAAAGTCTGCTCCACTGTCTGTGTTGTTAGTTGTTGCATTCCTCTGTTTACGGTCAGACAGTCCCCTTTGACATCACCCCCTGTCACTTCACGTGCAAATATCTCAACAACTGCTCATCTCAGCAGCTTGAAAAATTTTTTGTATTACATTATTAATGTTGTCTTTCCAAAAATGCATTCAAATTTATTCCAAAAAATTTGTCACATGCACTTTAAACAACTTTTTACAAAGTATAAATTTTCAAATGTCTGTATTTCTTCTGTTAAATCTTAGTGCTGCCTTTGGTTTGGTCAGTTGCAATACTTATTTACAGAGATTTAAAAACGATTCAGATAGATAGATTGCATGATTTATTAGTGAAGGAGCAAAAACTGTCTTGAAATGGGTACCTAAAGAAATGTTGATGTTTAGGAAAAGCTGTTGTTTATTTAGCTCAAAAATGTTTTGAACAAATGGATCTTTCCTGCATTAAAACTGTTTCTAATATATTTCCAAAGGCCAAATTAACTCTGCAGAGGGTGAAGAACCTTCTAAGAAAAAGCTCAAGTTATCTGTGCCTCAAGATAAGATTGAATCATCTTGGAGGAAGTCTGCAAAAGATGACTCCCCTCTTCAAGCACCAGCTGACTCTCTTGTTATGGATTCTCCACCACCGTCACAAATGGAGTCTTCGTTCCACATCATGGACTCTCCAAAACTGACAATTGTAGAATCGCCTGCTTCCCCAATAATGGAGTCTCCAGCCTCTCCTACGTTAGAGTCTCCTGCTTCCCCTGTTATGGAGTTCCCTAAGTCTCCAACTTCAGAAACATCTACAGCAGTGGCACCAATAAAATCATATACGCCTGTTGTGATACCGACTGCCTCCACGGTAACCATCACAAGACGTGACCCCCGAACTGCAGCAAGCAGGTTCACTGCATCATCTGGTGGAATCACTAGTCCCAATAAGACAAGTGTTAACCAAGCAGCTTCTTATGCTCCTATAAAAGAAACCTCTACCTCCCACTCAGCACCACCACCTAAACCATTACCTAAATCCATCTTGATGAAGCCGTCTTCCTCTGCTGACCCCAGACTTTATGGCACATCCTCAAGGTACCTAAAGAGTCTTGAAAATACTCTAAAGCCTCAGAATTTTTCTGCACATAAAATATATATTTATGATAACACTGGAATGGATGGTAATGATTTTTATCATGCTGTTGTGTTTTAGGATGATGGTCTCCCAATCCCCAGCAGATGGTGTTACTGCACAGTTTCTATCCAAACAAGAAATACTGTGGAAAGGCTTTCTAAACATGCTCACTGTTGCCAAGTTTATGACTAAAGGATATGTTGTTTCAGGATCTGGAGAAAGTCTTAAAGCGGTACGCTTGATATTTTAAATTCACTGAGTTACATTAAAAATTTGTATCACTGTCATAAAACAAATAATTTGAAGTTTTTGTTTTTGTACCCTGTGTAGGATCTACCTGATACCATACAAATTGGTGGAAGGATCTTGCCTGAAACCGTGTGGGATTATGTTGAGAAACTAAAGACGTCAGTTACAAAGGCAAGCAAGATTTTAACTTCCACCAGTAATATGGAGAGCGCGTCTTAATTTTACACATTCGTTTGTTTACTTTTTGTTTTCTTTAGGAGTTGTGTGTGATTCGGTTTCACCCAGCGACAGACGAGGAAGAAGTGGCCTATGTCTCCCTGTTTTCCTATTTCAGTAGCAGAGGACGTTTTGGTGTGGTTTCCAATGTCAGCCGCTCTATCAAAGATATTTACCTTGTCCCACTGAGTGCAAAGGAATCAATCCCCTCTATACTACAACCTCTTGAAGGGCCAGGTACGAATACTTGACTTATCTGAATTTATTTGCATTAATCTTGGCTTAAATTGAACTATATTGTCATCATTTTTTCACTTGCATTGATGTTTACGAATAGATTAACATCTTCATCACAAACTATCACAACAAACAGCAGATTATGATCAGGTTTCCTGTCTCTTACATTGACATTGTCAGCTGTCTTCCTGTTTTTTGTTTAGATCATTGCTCAGAACAAAATGCAGTCAAGCTATAGGAAATATTTAATAACGCTGGTCAGGGTTACTGAAAAATAGCTCCCTGCACAATATGCAACATCAGTAAATACCTGGATGTCAGTTAAACAGAACTTTAAGTACAATACAATTCAGTGCTGTAGCCATGATTAATGCTGATTTAAAAAACAGCAGAAAAATGGTATATATGCAGCATTATTGTGACAGGACTTGCAATAGTAAGAAAAAACAATAACAAAAGATTAGAATTTGACTAGCCTGGTTTAAACCAGACCCTGTCCTTCACTTTGCTTCGTACAAGGGTTTGGACTTGATGCATAGACAAGTGATTCTTGCAGGAGGCGTGGCCTCTGCTGAAGTTTAAAATGATTGGATCAGTTGGCTGCGACATATGTCGCTGTGACGGAGGCTAAGCTAAGAAGCTAACCAGAAATCACGTGTGTTGTAAACAACCCTACTGAGAGTAGAGAAGTACTGTGCCGAACGAGACGGCTGTAAATGAGAGCTGCTGCTTTGTCAGATAAATTTATTTTAATTTGGAAGCCTTATCAACATGGACTGGCTTCATTCTCTTCCT